CCAGACTTTTAAGTCTTTCCCACATATTCAGGAGAAGTTAGAGGTCTTTGAACATTACAGTAGGCCTCAAGTTCTCTTCTGAGGCCCCTAGGGTATGTTATTAATTAACTGGCTTCAAGGAAATCCCTATTTTTTATAACCTTAATTTTCAACACCCTACAAAAAGGTCCTAGGAGTGCCCAAAAGCCCCTATATTTTACTTTTCTTCACCTCTTTTTAAGTACTTATTTATATAAGGCCCTGTGAGATCTTACATCTGCCTATTTTCCCAGCCTCACAGCTCACTATTTCTCGACACACAGCCATTGCTCATTGCTCTGAGCTTCCTGACTCCTTGTGGTTTCTAGATTGTGTTTGTTTTTCATACTGCCAAGCCTTTGTACAGACTCTGCCTCTTCTCAGAATGCCTTTCTTATCTCAGTCTGTCTCACACATTCCTGCTCATCCTTCAGAATTTGACTCAGACTTTAAGCCCTTCTTAACTCTTTTTCTGTCGTTTCCATTTGTTGGATATTTCATTTGTTCACTCATGAAATATTTGTGGGCCCCAACTCTGTGCCACATACCTTTTCAGGCATTGGAGATACAGCAGTGAACAAAACAAATACCTGTTCTTGAGCAGCTTACATGCTAGCAGCAGGAAAAATAGGTAGTAAATAAACAAATCATTAAAACATATGGCCAGGCACAGTGGTTCATGTCTGTAATCCTAGCACTCTGGGAGGCTGAGGCAGGCGGATCGTTTGAGCTCAGGGTTTCAGACCAGCCTGAGCAAAAGCGAGAAACTGTCTCTACTAAAAGTAGAAAGAAATTAATTGGCCAACTAAAAATATATAGAAAAAAAATTAGCCAGCATGGTGGCTCATGCCTGTAGTCCCAGCTACTCAGGAGGCTGAGGCAGCAGGATTGCTTGAGCCCAGGAGTTTGAGGTTGCTGTGAGCTGGGCTGAAGTGCGGCATTCTAGCTGGGGCAACAGAATAAGATTCTGTCTCAAAAAAACAACAACAACAAAAAAAAATATTGTATGTCACTGTATGAATCTATTTACTTCAAATGCAAAACCAGGAAAAATTAATCTATGCTAATAGAAGTCAAGACAGGGTTCCCCTGAGAGTGTGGGAGGGAGAGAGTGACTAGAAAAGAGCATGAGGATGCTTGAGGGGTGTTGGCAATATTCTGTTTCTTTTTTTCTTTTCTTTTCTTTCTTTTTTTTTTTTTTTGAGACAGAGTCTCACTCTGTTGCCCGGGCTAGAGTGCCATGGTGTCAGTCTAGCTCACAGCAACCTCAAACTCCTGGTTTCAGGCGACCCTACTGCTTCAGCTTCTTGAGTAGCTGGGACTAAAGGCATGTGCCACCACACCCAGCTAATTTTTTGATATATATTTTTAGTTGGCCAATTAGTTTCTTTCTATTTTTAGTAGGGACAGGGTCTCGCTCTTGCTAGGGCTGGTTTCAAACTCCTGACCTTGAGTGATCCACCCGCCTCAGCCTCCCAGAGTGCTAGGATTACAGGGCAAATGTTGAATAGGTGGTTGGATGTGAAATTGGAGTTTAGGAGGGAGGTTCAGGCTTGAAACATAAACCTAGGAGTTATTAACCTATAGATAGTAGGTCAAATTACGAGACAAGATGGGCTTATCAATGAAGTAGGCATAGATGGAAAAGAACAGAGGTCCAGGAAGTGAGCCCTGGGACCCTCCAACATTTATAGTCAGAAGATGAAGAGAAAGTAGTGAAGGAGAATGAGAGGAGTAGACAGTAAAGTAGAAGGGAAACTAGGAGAATGTTCTGGCCTGGAAGCCAAATGAAAAAAGCCTTTCAGGGAGGAAGGAGCTTGTTACTTTGAGTGTTACTGATGGGTCAAGTAAGATGAGGATTGACAATATATCATTTAAGAGAATAAATATGGGCAACTTTTGGGAACTGAGAATAGATCACTGGAGTGCTAACACAGAGGACAGTTTGGCTTCAAAGAGGGGCAGCAGAGAAATGTGTATAAACAATAGAAGCTACAGGGTCTCATTTTTCTCTTTCTTTTAGATGGGAGAAATAACAGCATGTCTATGTGTTGTTAATGAACAGACAGAGGGCAAACCTGATGGTGCAAGAGAAGTGGAAGAAGTGCGGAGTATCGTAGGCAGAGGGATGGGGTCTAACACACAAGTAAAAGGTCTGCCGTAGGTAAGATTACGTAAAAAGAGGAAAGACAGGGTATGCGAGGATAGATGCAGAAGGGCGGATAGTGTGGCAATGAAAGCTTGAGGAAATTCTCTTCTGTTTTTAATATTCTTAGTGAAAAAAGACACTTAGTGAAGAAAGACAAGTCATCAGCTGACTGTGAGGCTGGGGGTGGCAGTGCTGAGGAGAAAGAATGAAAGTCACCTAGGAGAGGAAGAGAGAATAACTAAAGAAGTATAACCGGCATCCTGGGGAGTACTAAAGGCACTTTTGAGATTCACAGTCATGAATTTAAAGTGAGAACTCAGCATGGTTCTGTATTTTTCTCTAGCTTCATGTACCTGCTTGAATGCAGACATAGAATGGGAAGAGAGCTGGGTTAACCAGATGTTGGGGTTCTGCCATGCAAGCGTGACAAAGGAAGACAGCTGCATGCTAGAAAGTGGTTATAATGATCAACTATGGAATCTAAGCTGAGTTAGGAAGGATAAAGGATACAAAGTCGGAGAAGGGCAGTGAAAAAGTGTTAGGACCATTGGCTTTCAGGTCCTGATGGCAGCCAAAGAATTTTTAGAGTTAGGGTAGAGAGAGTGGGTTGGAAGGATAGAAGGCAGTGGTGAAAGAATAGGATGCTTGAAACTGAGATTGTGATTATTGATAATGATCTAAGTTCTAACTATGGGGCAGGGGGCTAAAATAAGAGAGAAAACGATCCTTGGAGGAGAAAAGGTGCAAAGAAAGTCAAGGGATAGATCATACATGAGATAGTGACACCAAGAATGATAACAGAAGTGATGGAGAGCTTGACAGAGCCATCAGCTAAAATCAAGGAATGGTGGGGCGGGGGGCAGGAACAACAGAAAACTGTAGCATGGAAGGGCTGTGGATGGCAAAGTCTAATGACATGAGATTTTTAGACAGAATGGAGAGAGAATGATCTAGAAGCCATAATGAGAAGCAAGAAATTTACCTACCCCAGTGTATGAAGATGTTGTAAACGAAATCAGCACCACTTCAAAGGGCTGTAGAGGAGGGAGTGTCCTTAGAGGAGAGCCAGGTTTCAGTTAGAACAAGAAGGTGAGGGAAATGTTAACAGATGTTGAAAATAGAAGGGATTTGCTGAGGATTGATCGAGAGTTCCAGATGGCACTAAAGAAGAGTTTCACAAGTTAGGAATGGATTGGGATGGAGTAACAAAAGGGAAGGTACAGAGCTATATGGTCTCAGAGTCCGTGAGACGAAGGATAAACTGGGAGACTTTGGCTCCTTGTGGTTAAACATGAATAGGGGAAAAAAAGTAATGATGTTAGATATGGGGTCTCAAGACAGGTCATGACAACGCTGTTAATGTGTGTGTGTGTGTAGGGGGTGTGGGTGTTGCCAGGATTACACAGAGTTCTGAGGTCCCATTTTCACTCTCACTAATGGAGGTGTATAGGCCAGGGTGGAGCTGACTTGTCTGTAACAAGTGGAACTCTGAGATCCCCTTTTGATCTTGTGGATGATGGTGTAGGAGCTGGAGAATGGAAAGCAGAACAGCCACATACAGCAGCTAAGGTTGTGCATATTACAACTCAAGGGTGCTCTGTTCACATAGACTGTCATGTGACTGGCACCCCTGGAAAAATGCAGTGTGAATGCCCTGGAAAAACACACTCTCCATAGTACCTCAAACACATTATATTTGCAAACTTATTGCAGTGCTGAAATGCATTATTTATCTTTTCATAAGACTGTGAATCTCTCACGAGCAGGGATGAAGTTCTCTCTTTTCTGCCTCCTGACATATAGTAGGCTCTTAGAACAGGTGTTAGTTCTTAACTCCTGAGTTTTATCACCATGGCGCTAGAGATGCAAAATAACTTAGAACCTTGAAATGGAATTGTATGACTTCATTTTTTTTATTTTTTTGAGACAGACTCTTGCTCTGTTGCCCGGCCTATAGTGCCATGGCATCAGCCTAGCTCACAGCAACCTCAAACTCCTGGGCTCAAGAGAGCCTCCTGCCTCAGCCTCCCGAATAGCTGGGACTACAGGCATTTGCCACCATGCCCAGCTAATTTTTACATATATATATATATATTTTGGTTTTTTTTAGTTGTCCAGCTAATTTCTGTCTATTTTTTTTAGTAGAGACCGTGTCTGGCTCTTGCTCAGGCTGATCTCGAACTCCTGAGCTCAAACGATCTGCCCCGTCTTGGCCTGCCAGAGTGCTAGGATTACAGGCGTGAGCCACTATGCCTGGACAGAAATGTATGACTTCTTGATTCCTTTTCTTAGGGTACATCAGGAACATCCTCCCCCCTTCTACTCCTGTAGGCTCACAAGCTAACAAGCAGACTGCAGTCTTTACTTGGCCTGGGATGATTTCATTTCAGAACATACTGGAACGTGGTGGATTTGCTGACCTAATGACGTCAGCTCCTCTGCCGTATGGCTTAGCTTCACGGGGTTAACAAATGCAGAAGTGCTATGCCAAGGCCCTAGGCCTATTTTGCTTCTGTTTCCCTTCTTTCTCAGGAAGTTAGTAGGAAATATTATCCCATTTACTCCTCCTTTCTCTTTTTAATTGTTCCCCAAACAATATTTGTGGAATCAATGAACAGATAAATTAGAATTTTATCTAACGAATGAAGGAAAGCTGTGTGGTAGTGAATGAGTTATTTCAAGGCTACCACTCAGGTGGAAAAAGAATTCATTTTTTGCAACCATTATTTCCTATGTGACTTTAGGAAATGCACTGTAGCTAAATGTAGAGTCTGCCTCTAACACAAAACTCTGGCCTACCATGTTTTTCTTTATTTCTTTTCTTTTTTTACAGGGAGAAAGTATCCCCATACCGATGACTACTATTAAGCGATTTGAGTAACATCATCCCAGGAACCTTATTGTCTTGCCTTTAGCCACTGGTGCTCCTGGTTTTCTCCTGTGGATGACATTCCTTTTGTCCTAGACACCTACCATCATACGCAGAAGAAAATAAGGAGGCAATAGGTCCAAAGTGTTGCATGTTGACTAAAACTACAGGAGCTCTTATACTATGCCTCCCTTAGGTCTGTATGTTGAAGTTTTGCTTCTTTATCTCTATTTCTCTGTGTTATTTATAAGATTTATTTGATCTTATTCCTCTCATGTATTAAATTCTGAGTAAAATTTTAAAATCTTACCTGTAAAATGAAAGAAGATTAAAAACCTGATGAACTCTCTACTTTGTATATATTTCCTTGGTGTGGGGCTTCAGTGATGGATGGCTTATTGGAGAATTCAGAGCAGGGAAAACCTGCTCTAGGTTTTCTCCAAGCCAGATTTTGTGTTTGTTTTTGGTAATGGTGTATCTTAGACTGTTTTCTGTTGCTATAACTGAATACCTGAAACTGGGTAATTTATAAAGAAAGGAAATTTATTTCTTATAGTTCTGGAGACTGGGAAATCCAAGAGCAACGTGCCAGCATCTGGTGAGAGCCTTCTTGCTGTGTTATAACATGGTAGAGGGCGTCGCATGGCAAGAAGGCAAGAGTGTGCATGTCAGCTCAGGTCTGTCTTCCTCTTCTTATAAAGCCACCAGTCCCATCATGGGGGTCCCACCTTGATGACCTTATCTAATCCTAATTACTTTCTAAATGCCCCACCTCCAAATAGCATCAACATATGAAATTAGGGATTAAGTTTCCAACACATGAAATTTGGGGGACACATTCAAACCATAGCATGGTTTTACATGGGCACTTTGCTGACACAAGGAAGAAGCTGAGAAAGAGATATCTTCTTAAAAAGAAATATGGGCCGGGTGTGGTGGCTCACGCCTATAATCCTAGCACTCTGGGAGGCCGAGGCAGGCCGATCGTTTGAACTCAGGATTTGAGACCAGCCTGAGCAAAAGCAAGACCCTGTCTCTACTAAAAATAGAAAGAAATTAAAAAATTGCCCAACAACAACAAAAACACAAAATATATATATATATATAAAATTAGCCAGGCGTGGTGGTGCATACCTGTAGTCCCAGCTACTTGGGAGACTGAGGCAGGAGGATCGCCTGAGCCCAGGAGTTTGAGGTTGCTGTGAGCTAGGCTGATGCCACAGCATTCTAGGCCAGGCAACAGAGTGAGACTCTGTCTCAAAACAAACAAACAAACAAACAAAAACAACAAAAAGAATTATGGATGGGAATTATATTTGTTAAAGTTTTCTCTAGGCCTTACTGGACAAAGGTTATGAAAATCTTAGAAATTCAAAGAAGATGAAATTAGCCCTCACACTTTTATGATTTGCCTAATTGATTTCAGTCTTTATTATTCCTATAACCCATCTTCCAAATCTCTCCTATCTCTGCAGTTTTTCTATATACATTCTCCTCTTCTATGGTCTGAATGTTTGTGTCATCCCTAAATGCAAATGTTAAAATCCTAACTCCTAAAACGGTAGTATCAAAATGTGAGGCCTTTAGGAGGTAATTAGATCAGGAGGGTAGAGCCCCCATAAATGGGATTAGTGCCCTTATAAAAGAGTCTTGAGAGCAGTTCCTTGTCCTTTCCACCACATAAGTACACAGCAAGGAGGTGCCATCTGTGAACCAGAAAGGGGCCCTTACCAGACACTGAATCTCTTGGCACCTGATCTTGGACTTCCCAACTTTGCAAACTGTAAGCAATAAATTTCTGTTGTATGTAAGCCACCCAGTCTATGGTATTTTGTTATAGCAGGACTAACAGACTAAGACAGCCTCCTTTGTTCCTTTTGGGAGGTGGGGGGAAGAAGGATAATATCTTTCTTATTGGCTGGGCCATGTAGGACTCAAGCATAGATTATGGAAGATAATTGGAAAAGGTATGGAACAGTAAGGGAAAAGAAAAGAAAACAGTCCAGGCACCAGAGGTTTTAATTGGCTCAAACCCTAAATTTCTGAATCATTAGATTCAGATGACGAAATAATTTCAATGAGAATAAAACCTATTTCTGCTTCTACAACTGCTGCAGGAAGAAGGAGGCACACCAGGCAGATTTGTGCAATTGTACAGATTTGACGTCTGCATTCCTAAGGTTAGTTTTTGCCAGGCCAAACCTATGAGGTGTGTGCTGAAGGTTTCTGGGGGACCCACACTGGCTGGCACCCACACTGAATATGGCATCTCGGGGGAGACCAAGTTGAACTGGAGATCACTTTTCAGGGAATTTCAAAGGCCTACACTCACATATCTACTTAAAAGAAACCAAAGCAAGGAGATGTGCAGACAGTTATTAGAACTACATGAAGGAACATATGAATTAGTTATATGTGCTCAGCAATTACATTATAGAGAACACTAATTAGGAATTAATGATTCACCTTGGTGTGATGATCTTTAAAATAAAGAAAATATTGTGGCAAGGTAGAATAAACAAGAGAGGGAACTGGGTTTGAATCCTGACTCTGTTCCTTGCTACTTGTGTAGTCTTGAACAAATTTCCCTAAACTTGATAATCAACATGTTTTTATCTGTGAAACATATTTTTTCACAGGGGCATTGTGAGAATTATGAGAATACAAATAGGTATTAATTGTTGGTAATAATAATGATGACTGATACTTATATAGCATTTTCTATATGCCAGAAATTATTTGGAAAAAAATTACATACATTAGCTCATTGAATCCTCAAAAACCAACCAACAAACAAAAAATGAGGTAGGTACTATTACTATGCCACCTTACAGAAGAAACTGAGGCACAGAGAGGTTAAATAATTTCCAGCAGCATAAAAGGTAGGAGCAGAGCTAAGAATGAAACCCAGAAGCCTGGCTATTAATTAAACACTGCATTTTCTTGTCTCTCAGTGGAGTATCAATCACAGTTAGACCGATGTGCTGATAGAGGTCAATTGGGAAGAAATTAAGCCATGAAATTAAGAATCAGTAGCATTTATGAAAGACAAAGAATATGTGAAAGTATAAAAATTACTGGCTACTGGCGCTGACCATGAAGTCTGGTGGAAGAATTCTGGAGCAAACGCATTGTCCCAGCCCCTCGGAAAATGACAAACTCTACTAACTGGTGCAAGTTAAAAGTAGGCCAGGAGACCCTGCGCACTGTGAGCGCGCTTCGGTCCAGGCGCGGCCTCCCTTGGTCTCGCCTGCAAATGGACTGGCCCACCTCGTGATCCTGTCCCCCGACACCCGAGGTCGCGATAAGGCCCGTGAGGGGTCCCTGCCTAGGTTCCCACAAGCCCATAAGCAAGAGCATGGCGGCCGTCCCCTGCAGCGCCTGGTTCGTGGCCGCCCCCGACTACTACCCGCGCCCCCTGGGTTCCATCTCCAGCAGCAGCCCAGTGGAGGTGCCCTGCGGCGTCCCCTGGGGAAGCTATCCCTCAGCAGCCCAAGGCCGACCTGGGTCATTAATGGGCCAGGTTCTTTTTCTGGAAGTCCACTCTCCTGTTCATGGTCTCTGTGTGGGAGTCCCCCAAACACTCAGAATCCCCCCAGGCCTCAAGTAGCGTGACCACGTGTGGCCTGCTCTGGACGCCCAGAGGAAGCAGCCTGCAGCCAGCCCAGCCAAGCCAGCGCAGGGCCCCCATCCTGACCTGAGCGGCCACCACCAGCCCCAGGCTTGCCGCGGCTCTGGGAGGTCAGGACACCACCTTGTAGCCTGGGCAGGTGGCAGCAAGCAGAGAAGCAGCTAGGTTCTTTCATATGGACACAACATCCACGAAAAGGTAGTCAAGAGAGCCCTATTCTTCCCTGTCCAAGCCGCAGGCGAGCTTTCCTGTCAACTATTCATCTTGCATCACGTGGAAAATAAACTGCAAAGGAGCCAGCAGAAAGAAAACAGAACAAAAACTAGGCCAGGAGCTAGAAGAATACCGTCCTTTTTCTTTTGTAGGAAATTTACATTCAAACATATTTCATTCTCTTGACAATTTTGTACAAGCTTCCTTGTTAAATATTTTATTCTTATTTCATTAACAATCTTGTCTTTCTTATTTTTCCTAGCAGTACATTTTTTTCTTTACAGGCCCTGACATTGTCAGGCTTCTGTGTTTCTTATCTGTGCATTCCAGTGATAACTAGCAGGGTGCCTTTTCTCTTCCATTCTCCTAAGTTCGTTTGACCTGTTTTCTAGCAAGTTGTGTTACTTCATTCCGTATGTGGATGGTAGTCCCTTTGCAGTTTTGACTTCTCCGTAGATCCAATATTATTTCTCATCTGAACTCTCTACCTGCTGTGCTCTCATATATGAATCCAACCCATAGAACCATTTTCCGATCTGTGTATACTTTTTGTTAATGATGCCATGCGAAATCGGGAGAAATAGCCACACCCAGAGTTTTTCAAAAGTGTTTTCTTTCTTTATGATGGATGGGCCCATCCAACTCAACATTTTTTTTTTCTCATTTGATACATTTTCCATGGGCCAACTTGTACCCACAAGGAGTACCATTTCTACGTTGTATATTTCTAATCTGTACCTCTAGCCTAGGTCTCTTCTAGAACCTTTCTACCCAATTCATAAGACGTCTCCATTTGGCAGCTCAAATCCAACCTGTGTGAAACTGAATTTATCATTTTATACTCCTTCCTTCTTTTCCCAGTCAAGTGACTTCTGCTCTCTTCTCAATCTCAGAACATGGTACCACTGGCCCCCAAATTGTCCAAGCCAGAACCTTGGAGTCATTCTTGACTGTTACTTTCACTTTAACCCCCCTAGTTGGTCAATAGCTAGCTCCTATCAATGCTGCCTTCTTAACCTTCTGTTAATCCCTGTTGCCATCCTCTTAATTCACATCACCATGATTTCTCACCTCGTTCCTGATATAGCCTCCTCACTGATCTACTACTGCTAGGTCTCACCCCTTCCTATCTATGTTGCATCTGAGGTAAACGGTTCTTTCTTAAACTGAACCTGACCATGCCTTTCTCCTGCCATTAAACCTTCATTAGATCTCTCTTGTCCTCAAATACAGTCTGTATAAATATCATCAATATATGTTACAAGGCCAACAGCAACTACTTTTTACTGAGCAGTCATGTAAATGCCAGGGCGTTTACATGTTTATTTCATTTAATCAGCACAGCAACATTATGAAGTGTTATTATTACCTTGATTTTGTACAATGCCATAGCAACAACAAAGGCTAATAGACTTAGCACATGTCAGTCACTTTTTAAACTTTTTGTATATTTTGTTTCATTTACTCTTCATAATAATGCTATGAAGTATAAATTACCATTTCCATTTTACAGAGGAAGAAACTTAAGCATAGAGAATCTAATTTGCCCAGGGTTTTACATCAGTAAGTAATGGAGTGGGATTCAGACCCAGATTTGAATCTTAAAGCTCTTATTGACTCTTCCACATGCCTGAGTCTCTGCATGTGCTTCTCCTTCTGAATGGACTTTGACTAGGCTGATTCTACCTGTTCAGATTTCGGCTTAGAAAAATCTTCCATGATTGCTGACTTCATAGCATTGATCTTCTTGTTTCTGTAACAATGTGTTCTTGTTTTTTCTTTTCTTTTCTTTTTTTCTTTTTTTTTTTTTTTTTTTTTGAGACAGGATCTTGCTCTGTCACCCAGGCTAGAGTGCAGTGGTGTCATTTGACCTCACTGTAACCTCAAACTCCAGGGCTCAAGCAATCCTCCTGCCTCTCAGCCTCCCCAGTAGCTGGGACTATAGGCATGTGCCACCATGCTAGGCTGATTCTTTAAATATTTTGTAGAGATAGAATCTTGCTTTTGCTCAAGCTGGTCTCAAATTCCTGGCCTCAAGCAATCCTCCTGCCTCAGCCTCCCAAAGTGCTAGGATTGCAGGTATGAGCCACCGTGCCTGGTCATAAAAATGTGTGCTTGTTTCTTATCTTTGTTATAGTATGATCACAGGATATCACACAGATTGCTGGCCTGTCTCCCTGAGTTTGATTATACTTGTAATCCTAGTCCCCTTCTCAGTGCCTGACATGCAGTACCCAATAAAAGCTCCCTCAATTCTACCTGTTCACTTCATCTATTTGGACTTCCCAACTCTCATCTGTTAACAGAGTATGTATCCATATTTCTTTTTAACACATTCTTTTATATACCTAAAGCTCTTCCAAACATGAATTATAGTAAACAAACTTCGGTTTTGCTCATTTTGTATCAGAATCTTGAAAGGATCTACCTGGTGGGTAGCTATATACACCAATGTATGAAGGATGGTATAATTCAGGGTGTCATAAGAGTTTTTGAGAATAATTGGGCACACATGCAGAAACAAGGACCACCTACTGTTTATCCTAGTTATTTTCTTTTGTTGTTGTTGTTTTTTTTTTCTGGTATATTATGGGGGTACAGATTTTAAGGTTTCAATAAATGCCCTTTCCCCCTCCCCCCACAAGTCTGAGTTTCCAGCATGACCATCCCCCAGATGGTGCACATCTCACTCATTATGTATATATATACCCGCCCCCTCCCCGCCTCCCCCCTGCCCAATACTCTATTACTGTAGTACTTATGTGTCCACTTAAGTGCTACTCAGTTAATACCAGTTTGCTGGTGAATATATGTGGTGCTTGTTCTTCCATTCTTGGGATACTTCACTATCCTACTTATTTTCAAATAACAATCTATAAAGCCTTCTTTCTCACTCAAAGTAAAAGCCAGAGTCCTTACATAGCCTGTTAGGATCACAAGGTACACCTTCCCTACTCCTCAATCCCTTACCCTGCCCTGTCACTTCTCTGTCCTCATACACTTCAGCTCAGCCAAGCTGACACTCCTGCACTGGCTCTCTCATCGGGAATGCTCTTTACAGATGTCACAAGTCTCACTCCCTCAGCTTCCAGTCTTTGTCCACTTTCTCAAGGCAGCCAATCCTGACCACCCTATTTAAAACTGAATCTGAGAAATTGAGAAGCTCTCTCACCTTGTGCACTTCCAGTCCCCTTCATCTTGCTATACATAGTCTTTATCACCTTCTAACACACAACACACTGTAAGCTTTACTTATTTATTATGTCTGTTGTCTATCTCTCCCTGCTAGAATGTAAGATCCATAGAGTCAGGATCATTATCCCTTTCCAATTGTCACCAATGAGTCCAAGCACTTAAAACAAGCATTTAGAAAATGCCTAGAACACAGTCTAGACACAAAAAGTGTTTGCTAAGTGGAAATAAATGGTGTGGATCTCAGTCTCCACTTTTCCCTTATGAAAGAACTGGAAATCACCTGTAGCCAGTCATAGAATAGAATGGGTCACAGAATAATTGTGATCCAGTTTGGATTCTCTTCTATACTATTCTTATTCCAACTGGAATATTCTGTTCTGGAATATTGATTAGAAATTAGATTTATCTTATATACTCCTTGACCCTGGCAATGACTGCATTGTACCATGCTCTCTCCTCACCTTGAATGGACATTTCCTGCATTTTTTGAAGGCCTCAAGTTCTGCTGTGGCTGTTTTCTGTTCTTAAGCTTCAACAATGGCACAGATTTGAAAGTTCTTTCCTCTTAAAGACAAAAAGAAAAAGATGGACAAATTGGGTTATATAAATAGTGAAGTTTTCAACAAGGCAAAGAATACCATAAAGTCAAAAGGGGAGGAACAAATTGGGAGAAAATGTTTACCTCACTCATGGCAAAAGGCTTATGACATACTTAAGAACTATTGCAAACCAATAAGAAAAAGGCCAGTAACCATTAAGAAAACAAGCAAAGGAAATGAAACAAAAGGACAAGAACCAATAATTCATGGAAAGATGCTCAATCTCACAAAAGGAATAATAAATAAACTAAAAATAAAACAACAAGGAGTTACCATTTGTCCTTGATCAGAGGCCAGAAAGTTTGAAGGCACTGTGTTTTGCAAAAATGTAGGGATACAGATATGTTCAGTATATGTCCTTTTGGTGGGAATGTACATGGGTGCAACCTCTTTGAAGGGCTTTATGGGCAATCATAAGCAAATTTATCAATGTATACACCCTTTAAGAGGATGATTTTTTCATTGTATTCTCTTTGATAAATTTGGATTTTTTAAACCATGTGCACATATTATTTTTTTCAATGAAAAAATTAAATAATTAGAAACAAATTAACTCCCATTGACACGAAGACCCTCCCATTCAGACAGCAACACTTTGCCTCCTATGTCACACCACGAAACAGCCCCAGCAGCAGTAGCCGAGTGTGTTTTCTTCATGTCCCACATCCATGCTGGGTTTACTCCAAGGCTCTGAGGCATCTGCTTAGATCTACCTACTCATTCATATTCCTTTTTTCCCCCTCCTTCCTTCCCCATATTTCAGAAATAATTCAAGAGGACTGATGGGAACTTGATAGAGGTGCTTTAAAAAATAAAGCTACTTAAAGTAATTTATACTTATTTGCACAACCCATAATATTAAATTTTGATTAAAGGAAACTTACCTTCTAAAATTGTGCCTTGTTTAGGCTATTTTAGTGTTTCATTTCCTGAATACATATGTACTATAACAGCAGGAAAAGTGCCCCCAGAATATGGTGGGAGGTTGGGAGAAGCCAGCCAGGATTTAAGAGTGGTTATGAGCAAGGTACTCTTCAAAGTGGGTTAAAGATTCCCTTTCAAGAATGAAAATTTGGGCCAGGTGTGGTGCCTCACGCCTGTAATCCTAGCACTCTGGGAGACCGAGGCGGGAGAATTGCTCGAGGTCAGGAGTTCAAAACCAGCCTGAGCAAGAGTGAGGCCCCGTCTCTACTATAAATAGAAAGAAATTAATTGGCCAACTAATATATATATATAGAAAAAATTAGCCGGGCATGGTGATGCATGCCTTTAGTCCCAGCTACTCAGGAATAAAATAAAACAACAAGGCAGAAGGCCGAGGCAGAAGGATCGCTTGAGCCCAGGACTTTGAGGTTGCTGTGAGCTAGGCTGACACCACGGCACCCTAGCCCAGGTAACAAAGTGAGACTCTGTCTCAAAAAAAATAAATAAATAAATAAAAGAAAGGATGAAAATTTGAAGACTCAAACTGTGATATATGACATCAGTAATCTGTAGCAATAACATAACCAAAGAGAATGCCTTTTAATATTTGATTAGCATTTGGATAATATCCCCAATCCAATCAAGGTGATCTGGCTATTACTTTAGGAAAACAAGGCTTCCACGTGTGACTGAAATGAAGAAACCTTAAACCTCAACAACTATGTATTTTTTTGAAAACAGAATTATTGGAGGTAGGGAGTGCATGATAGGTATAAACATGGCAAGTTGGAAAGCAGGTATTTGTCATGTGTCTCTAAGATGAGCAGAACAGAATCTTAATTCAGTCCATTTGGAAATGTTTATTTCCATGGAATGTGTATTGAGGAAAAGCCATTAAGATTATCCAACCCATCCCTGGCAATGATTCCATGTTCCCTGTACCACCTTATGTTTATTTGGCTTCTCACAAGTTTACCTGCAGCCAGCCTCACTGGATGCCATTCCAGTCTCTTAAGACCCATGGAGGCTTTAGGAGTCATTTAGTTCAACCTTCTCCCAATACAGGAATGCACCCTGCTATGGTCTGAATGTTTGTGTCCCCCATACCCCAATTCATATGTTGAAACCTAAGCCCTAATGCAATGGTATTAAGAGGTGAGGACCTTGGGAGATGATTAGGTCATGAGAGCTTAACCCTCTCTCATGAATTGGGACTGGTGCCCTTATAGAAGAGGCCTGAGGGCACTTGTTCATCCCTTCTGCCATGTGAGAACACAGCAAGAAGGTACCATCTTTGAAGTAGACAGCAAGCCCTCATGAGACATGGAATTTGCTGGCATCTTGATCTTAGACTTCCCAGCTTCCAGAACTGTGGGCAATACATTTCTGTTGTTTATTATTACCCAGTTTAAGGTATTTTGTTATAGCAGCCTGAGTGGACATAGACACTCTCTGACTTCTCATCACTCCCTACCCCAGACCCACCATCCATGACCTTTTTAAAGAAGCTTGGTCTACAGCCCCCGAGGAACTTTCCCTTCCAGCTGCAGTCCCAACACTTTTCAGGAGAAACTCTTCAGCCCCTTTTCAGACTCCTGAAACTCAAATCCACTTTTATGAGGTAAATAGTTAATGTTCTCACAACATATTATTTGGCCTCAATTGGGACAAAGGAAACCAACAAAACTATTACTTTAATTTCTTTATTTGTCAATAGTATCTGGGAAAAAAAAAGAATCAGGAGTAACAAAAACAAGTTAAATGCAATATGGAAGCCTACTAAATACAAATACATTTTCACAAACACACAGGCAACAGAAACTTGTTCAAAGTGTTTCTTGAAATTTGACTATTTAAAAACATAGGTGTAAAGGAAAGACATTAAGACTTGTCCATATGGGCTTATTTGCAGGTGAAGGAGCCCTGCTTTCTAAAAACAGTGATAGAGTCCAAAGTCATGGCATGTGGGAAGGTTTCCATGGACACTGGATCTTAACAGATGCTGTAATGTTTATAAAACCAGACACACACGCACACACACACACAGAAAGCCCAAGGAAGCTTGCAGTCTAAGCCCTATGCTTTTAGAGGGCTGAAGGAACTGAACCCAATTTAATCCTGTTTGTTTGCCCCATGCAAAGCTCTATGCAAGACTCCCCAGACAAGGCTATTTAGCAGCTTTCCATGAATGGTCCTCAGATCATGTGATTCCATGGTGCAGACAACAGCCGCCCTACTTACACAGAAGCAGCAGAACTCAAGAGGAATGTGGATTTGCTCTTGGGAATTCAATGTTGCAGGGTAGAGTAGTCTTGGATAGTAACCACTATTCTAAATGTGACTAGTGAAGAGACACTGTGGTTTCCTGCTTTAAACAAACTTGTACTCCTGCCCTCTCCCATAGTGTCCAAGAGCTGGCAAAGCTTTTGATTAAGGCATGCTGCTGTGAGTTCTCCAAGGCACTTGGACAGGGAGCTGCATTTCAGACTGCACAAGTGGGGTTTAAAGAGAGTTTTTAAATGGGATGATACATAAAAGCTTGAAATGCTAAGCAAAGTAGAATTTTCTCCTTTCAAACGAGAACAATTTAGATGGAATTCCATTTTTGGTACATGTTTCTCCCAGTTGCCTGTGCCTAAATAATTTCCTTCTGATGGTCTTTAATCTGCTTTCTGCAAATGAGATCTTATGTCACAATTTTAGTCTTTGTTATTCCAAATGCATCTTAAACATGGTGGTGAGTGTGGTTATTAATGACAGAGGTCAAAAGACACAGGGCTGACTGTGAACAACTGACTTCTCCCCAATCACAGTTTTAAGATTCAGTCTCCATTTTCCCTCCTCTTGAATTTGAAAATTTCTTTTGTTCCTCATCTTTAAAGGAAAAGCTCTTTTTGTTTCCAAACAGAGATTAAACATGAAATGCCAATGTGAAGACAAAGTGGGATGGCTCCTTCCACTCTCTTACTGGGTAGGCTCTACCCAGAGATCTCTATGCCCGCCCCAGCACAACCTGCAAGGTCATTCAGGCTGAGGTCAGGTTTTGTCATTTTGTTTTTGGCTGTCTTATTGTTCTAACAAGGTTTCATGTATTCTGAAGAAGGAAAATCACAGGAACCTGTCTCCCGCTGGACCCATGACCAGAACCACAGAATTTTTAATTTATCAAACTAAAAGCACTAATGGTTAATGCATTAATCCATTAATTAATGGTTAATGCATTGATTAATTAAAGGTTAATGCATTCTTACAAACCCACTGAGGAAACTGAGGCCCAGATATAGAAGGAGGCAGGGCCAAAGTCACTCTTCTAGTTAGCGGTAGATCAATGAACGTATTGGTAAGCTGGGATATCTGAAGCCCTGCTTAGCTGCACTTGTGACCATCCTGCGTAATACTGACTTGCCTGAACTTCTCAGAATAAATAAAAGCAAGTTAACTTTTGGATCTTGAAAGCTTTGTATGAAGATACTTCTCCTTGCTTCTGAGGCACCCCCTGCTCTTCTGGCAGACAGCTGACCCGCGGAAGGCACCCCCTGCTCTTCTGGCAGACAGCTGACCCGCGGAAGCGAGGGGGGCGAACTCTAGGCTGCATGTAGTATGTGGCAGGGTGGGGGGCATCTGGGTTATATAGGTCTCTGTACCAGGAAGAACCCCAAACTCCTTCCATCTCTGAAATGGTAGGACTACTGAAAAATAATTACAAAAGCTTAATACCTAGTCAAGAAAATAAAATATTAAAAAACAACAACAATAATATAATGATAATAATTGAAGAATAAAGTCAACTTGCAAAAAAAAAGTGTTTTACAGAGAAATAGCACCTTTGGTAAAAAGTATTTTAAAAATTTGGTTAGGTCTCTATGGGGCTCGAAGTATACAAGTATCTGCATCCTTTGGACACACCCTCCCAGAAACTCCATCCAAGTCTGAGGGACACTGGGTAACTAGTAGGATGGCTGCGTATTTAGGGGCAGTGATTGGGACCAAGAGAAGCACAGATGCTGGAGGTCAGTCGTGCTGACAGCAACCAGAAGGGGCCAGAAGCAGAACGTGTTCCTTTCCATTGAGCTTCCCAAAACCCTCAACCAGGCGCAGCCTGCTAAGTTCTCTCTGGCACTGTGTCCACTCCCTGCAGCCTGCTCACAGCTGCAGTGGACTCGGAAGGGGGTCAGATCTGGGTCTGCTCCTCTTCCACCCCTGATGCAGTTTCCTTACTTGCCTCCAGCCCCAGAGCACTGTTTACAGTTTCTCTCAAAGCACTCCTAGAAATGAAGGCTATGGCCCTTCCCCTCCTAGCCAGCCACCCCCATATTCTTTATTGCAAAACAAATAAACAAAATAAAACTCATTGCTATACAAGCAAATACTGGTGATTTGGCGATTGTAGCAGACACTCGCGTATACTGGACTCAGCGCTGAAGTGGAAGAGAAGGTGCCGGACTCCAGACACCGTTCTGACATGTCTCTTCATTAGATCTCTTTGGTGCTCACCCTCTTGGTCTTTTCAGCTGTTTCCTTTGAGATGCAAGAGAAAATAACATCATGGAAACATTAAAAAATCATGGACATTTCTCTAGTCCTCAAGACTTGACAGCATTGACAGACACACACTTACGTGGAATTTTAGTTGTTTATCTTTGTGGCTCCTCCATGAAGGATGAATAACTAGAGGGCAAAAGCCATGTCCTACTCATGACATGGTCATGCAGGAGCTATTTACTGAATTAAGAGCTGACCCCATTTGAACTCTTATGAAACAAGCAGATCAGAAATTATCCCTCCCACTTTAAGGATGAAGAAAAGGATACTAAATGGAAATGCTACAAACTGTTCTGGATCCAACGAGTCCAAAAAAGTGTTAAGAGCAACAGGCTCTGCAGGCAGACTGCCTGAGCTTCAGTCATGGCTATGTGACCTTCTGGGACCTTGAGCATATTATGAAAACTTCTGTGTCCCAGTGTCTTCAACTGCAAAATGAGGGTAATAAAGTACCACATCTTACAACAGTGCCTGGGCACATTTCTCCAAAGATGATATACCAATGGCCCATAAGGACATAAGAAGATGTGCAACATCATTAATCATTAGGGAAATGCAAATCAAAACCACAATGAGCTAGCACTTCATAACAACCAGGACAGCTAAAACAAAAAGTAATAATAACAAATGTTGGTGAGGATGGGAAGAAATTGGAACTTTGCTGAGGATGTACTATGGTTGCAGCCACTTTGAAAACCAGTCTGGCAGGTCCTCAACAGGTTAAATGTGGAGTTATGATATGACCCAGTAATTCCACCCCTAGGTATGTACCTAAGAGAAATGAAAATATATGCCTACACAAAGACTTGTGCAAGAATGTTCATAGCAGCATTATTCATCAGAGCCAAAAAACTGAAACAGCCTAAATATTAATATCCACCAGCTGATGAATGGATACACAAAGTGCGGTATATCCATACCATGGAATGTTATTCAGCCATAAAGAGGAATGAAGTCTCAATTCATGCCGCAAGGACGAACCTTCAAAACATCATGCAAAGTGAAGCAGTCAGACAGAAAAGGCCATATGTTGTATGATTCCATCTATGTGAAATGTCCAGAATAGGTAAATCTACAGTCAGAAAGTAGACTAGAGGTTGCCAGGGACTGGAGAAAGAGGAGAATGGGGAGTGAGTTTTAATGGGTTTGGGATTTCTTTTGAGGATGATGAAAATGTTCTGGAATTAGACAGTCATGATGGTTGACAATCTTATGCATATACTAAAAACCACTGAATTATACATTTTAAATGGGTGAATTTTATGGTATACAAATTTTATCTCAATTAAAAAAATAGAAAAAAACTGACAATAGCACTGTGGCTTGCAGATACTCTTGGTGCTCCATCCTTATCCGCCTTGAATTTAATGTTTCGGTGTACACTGGCCTGACATCTCACTGCCAGTGCCTGCGCCTCTTTCCCTGACAGCTTCCTCTGGCTGCCAGAGCCCACTCTGTCGGCACATGCTGGCAGGTCATAAATGCCAGGGAATTAATGTTTCCTGGTAACAGCCTCAGGCATTGGATGATGGGAGTTTTTGTAGAAATACCCCAGCTCCCTCCCTGCTTATCTGTTCCCAGAGTCCCCCAAAAGGATTAAGTTCCACTTGCCCAGGGTGGTAACACGCCTGAATACACACTCATTATCCCCACTCATTTCCCAAATCCCCTTTCGGCGTTTCCTGGGGTTGCCTCCCAGATAAACTATTTGCACTCGAGTCCTTGCCTCAGCATCTGCTTCTGAGGGGACTCACATAAAACAGATACTTAAAAATGTTAGCTATTATAATTCATTCCCCATTATAGGATAACTTCTCTATCCTAGATCATAGTAATTACTATGATTTTTTTTCCCTGTTTATGGGGTTGAACTCATTTTAGGACTCAAAACTGGTGAAATCTAGAAAAGCAAAAGACTAAGTTTCTGTTTTTGCTTAAACAACTGACATGAGATTTCTACACTATCAGTGACAATAACAACAAAATTCACATAAAAAATAATTGATAAATATGAGAAATTACTATTAATATTAATAGTTCTTTTTACTCATGTCAAATATTTCATCTCAATAGTTTAGCAGTTCTTATGATCATTATATTCCTTAAAAAGTTCTATGTCAGAAAAAAAGGCTCGCACTACTAGACAGAGTCTACAGACAGGTAGTATAAGATGCAGTATCTTCTGTTAAGACTACACAGTAACCCTGTGGGAAGACAGGCCTGGGAGTCTGACCTTTCCATAATATGTCATCGGATCACTATTCTGCTAAGAACACTCTCTGCAAGGAGGCCTTCAACTGAATAACTGAAACCTGAACAGAATGCTTATTTATTATCTTCTTGAGTCTCCAGAAAACAGAATCTTTGTCAATCACAGGCTATTTTCTAGCCAGACTGGTATTTCACTTCAATCCTTCCTGCTGTGTTTCAAATCCACTAATTTCACACTCCTTGAGTGCTGACTACATACTAGGCCAGCTAGATGCGAGGGTGCGTGGTGAGCAAGTTTTAGAGCCTGCTCTCGAGGAGCTCACAGTCTTCATGTCTGGGCCCTGGTCACGGCAGGAAACACTCATGCTTCTTTAAAGCATGCTCACGTGCTAACCACTTCCACCTCATTTGCAAATCACCACCTGGCTGGTTCTTACTTTTGCAGCCATTCACCAAGTTTTAACCTACATCTGCTGGGACCTATTGGACCCTTCAAGGGCTCCACAGGGAATTGCTGGCATCATGGTTTAACAGTACAAGTGATGTGGCATTATTCAGGATCCACTGTATTGAACAGAGTGTGTCTCCTTGTCTCCTGGGGCAGCAGGCAGTGTCTGAGTGGTATAGGGCCTGGTGGCAGCAGCAGTACCTGAACCAGCATGGAGGCTGCCACTCACCTGGTGCTTCTGGAGCTCCTGGACATATCTGGTCATCTCCTCCTCTGTCCGGGTCTGGGTGCCCTTCTGATTCTTTCCTGCAAGAAGAACTCAAGCTCAGAGCAGTGGTGGCTATGGTAAGCCAGTGAGAGATCCCACCAAGATCAACCTTATAGGTTCTCAAGTCATCTCCCATTTAACACGTGGAAGGAGAGGTGAATTACCCACACTTCTCTAAGCATGAAGCCATAAGGGGTCCCACATGTAACTGACACCTCCGAGGTAACACACTGTAAACACAGCATCTAGCCCCACTCTTCCCTGGCCTCTGTTCCTGGTGTCCCCTTCAGCTGCTCAGCACATCCCTGCCAGGGGCTGGCCTTGCAGGAAAAGCTGGGGTGAATACCTGGATCCTGACTCAGAAAATTCCTCTGAGGCAGTGTTCTCAGCCTCGAAATGTCCTGGAGAACATTTGAAAATATAACTGCCTAGGTTCCACGCTCAGAGATTCCAACGTAATCAATGTGAGGTGGGACATGGACATCATCAGTATTTTTTTAAAAGTATCTCTAGGTAATTCTAATGTGCAGCCTGGGTTGACAACCACTGCATCTAGCAATGTTTCCCAAACTTGCACAGTGGTAAACCAAAACAAAACCAAAAACCAAGCAGGTTCCCAAGCTACTCTTTTGCAAGTTCTGATTCAGTAGGTTTGGGATGAAGCCCAGGAATCTCTCGTTTGCTGGGCATAACATTTACCCTTAGGGAACACTGCTCGGACATGTCTTCCAGACACTGGCATCAACCTGCCCCTCACGGCAGTTTCCCTTGGCTCTGGCTCTACCTGGCTTCACATCTTGATGCCCATTCTTGTTTATACCATTGAGATTTGCGATCTAAGACCAGACTACTAACTTTCAGGTACTAACCTGAAAATGCCTTGGAATGCCACTTCTACTATTTCCTCTCGGATCCGTGGCCTATATACCAAGATGTGCTCAGGCCCCGGGGCACCACCATCTGGATTGCTCTTTATACCCACACAGAGCTCTGGACCTGGCCAGCCAGGGAGGGAGGACCAGCGGTGCGTAGCTGTGTGGCTGTGGAAATGGGCAACATCCCATGGGGGTGATAATTTGAATTTTGTCTGATGAATGTGATGGGGATTATTATCCAGATGATCATGATATGGCTCTACAAGCCGGCTGCACATCGACTGCCTGTGTCTTTCAAATGGAAAGCTACCTTTTCAGAGCCAGAACAGGACAGCCTCTTTCACCTCTCCCTGGAGCTAGGTTGGCTTTCTGCCTTCCCACACTGAAAAGACACTTGGCCCTGGACAGTGGTAGACCAGTGATCCCTTGGATAGTGCTGGGTTCCACTTATACTGCTGGGCTCCTTGTCTAGAAGAACCTTTTCCTGGGTCTTTGACCTCTGTCTCCTGGTAACTATTTTACCTAATCATCCTGAACATGATCCTAGGCACCAGTCTGCTCTTTCTTGACTCAGTTCACTTCTTAAAATATGACTTTAGGTTCACCCCTCCTGGTATAACTTTTGCATCTGGTTCCAACTGACCTTTTTCCCCAAACTCAATGTGACACTCCATTCCAGACCCGGCTTCAACACCCTTCTCTGTCTTGCCTCCAATCTGAAGGATCCCTGGCTATTTGCTAGCACTTGGCTTTGATTTGAGCCCCTCTTGTATCTTTGGCATCACCGTAGCCCAGGACCCCAGTGGCAACCTCGTGGTTCCAACCCGCCCTGTACCCTCGCATAGGCCCCCAAACTCTCTGACTTCTCTGTCTCCCCAGCCCACCCTGCCCATATCTCAACTACCTCAACTTTCTTGCTCTTTCTCTTTTTCTAAGGATGCCCAATTCTGTTAGTTGAAAGGAGGTTCTACAAATTTTTTTTCTTTTTCTCCCGGGTATGGCAAGAGGAGTCATTTTGTCTTCCAATCACCAGAGTCTTTTACTTATAGTATTTCCTAAGATGTCATAAGGATTAAATGGGTTAATCTGTAAAATACTTAGAAAAATACCTAGCACATGGTTTTCACTGAATAAGTATTTGCTTTCATTCATTATTATTATTCCAATCTCATGTCAGCATTTACTCCTGCCCTGGGTTTGGTACTCTCGTATTCAAAGCCTCTGGAGTGATTTCCAAACTTAATGCATATGGGATAAGTGCTTTGCCCTCGGAGCTCGACCTTACAAGCTTGGGTCTGTCACTTGCTCCCCGGGTTCCTTGCTCCCAGCCACTGCCCTCTTCCCCATCATCCCCACCCCGACTTCTCTCATGCTCATTTCACGAAGCTCTCTCTTTGCTGCTCCTTCTTTCCGCCTGGGGCACAGCTCACCGTCACAGGTCATGGCTGTGCAGACCCAGTTTCCACAGGCACAGACACAGCGATTGCAGTCCACCTCGGTCTCAGCCCCATCCGCGTACGTCTCATCCTCCAGGGCACACTCTGTTGGGCCAGAAATGAAGGGCAACAGTTTAGTTGTGTGGGTAGAAGAGGGCATCTTTGCCACAGTCTGCACTCGTTACCCTTTTCCCAGACAACAGCTGCCTGTCCCTCGGAGGCACTGAATCTTAGAGCAAACGCCACCATCACCTATAGATGTTGGGGCCCCAACTTCACCATGGGGATGATGGGCTGGGGCCAATCTAGAATCATGGAAGGGGATTTTCTCAGCTAGCTCTAGAGAGTTCCACCAATCTCCTGTCTCTCCCCACCAAATGCCTGCAACCCAAACAACGCTCTAGTTCTTAGGTGAGGCATACTTTTCTCAGGAGGGTTGAAAGATGGGTTGAGGCACTTGAGAAACTCTTGGAAGCTGAGTTTCCAGTCAGCATTTTCATCAGATAATTCAATGAGAGCATCGATACACAGTCCTCTGAAACAGAACACAGGAGAAATGTGTCAGCAAGACCTCGGCTCCACTCGGGAAGAAAGGAAGTAAGCATCAGGATCACATATACTTGGGGCCTCCATAGGTTGCCAAGAAGATGGCTGTTAATGACAAAGTTTCTCTCTACACTGACCTGCTACCACCATTATCCATCCTGACTTACAACCCGACTTAGTTTGTTACCCTGGGCATCAGATCACTCAAGCTGTTCAAATGTTCCTCTTAAGATGACTGAAGTTTCAGGAATGGTTTTGTCTACCTTGATTGACAAAATGTTTTCATACCTGCACACCTTCCAAAGCAATTGCCCTTCCCTGTGGTATAAGTGTCAAGTCAACCAAACAAGGAAAATAACAATAGAAGAGATATGACAGATAATATGAAAGGAATATGGGCTTTGAAAGAACATGGAGTTCAGGCAAGAATCACCACTCTAGAAGATTTTGAGAAAAGCTTTATAGAACTTCAGGTCCATCACTCTCCCCTTGGTCTGGATTTGAGCCCTGGCTCAATTGCTTACTATCCACATGGCCTTGTATTAGTTATCCAACCTTTCTGAGCCTGTTTGCCCATCCATAAAAGAAGGACAAGAAGTCCTCCTTCACTGGGATGTTATGAGGACCAAATGTTGAAACTGATAAAAATATTATCTAATTTCAGGCTGGGCACGGTGGCTCACGCCTGTTATTCTAGCACTCTGAGAGGCCGAAGCAGACAGATTGCTCGAGGTCAGGAGTTCGAAACCAGCCTGAGCAAGAGCGAGACCCCGTCTCTACTAAAAAGAAAGAAATTAATTGGCCAACTAAAAAATATATACAAAAAATTAGCCGGCATGGTGGGGCATGCCTGTAGTCCCAGCTACTCAGGAGGCTGAGGCAGAAGGATTGCTTGAGCCCAGGAGATTGAGGTTGCTGTGAGCTAGGCTGAAGCCACGGCACTCAGTGTAGCCTGGGCAACAAAGTGAGACTCTGTTGCAAAAAAAAAAAAAAAGAAAAAAATCTAATTTCAGGTTATCAAAATATGAAGGAATTACAGATTCTATACTTTAAGGCCATGGACTATTATTAAGAATCTTTCTAGAAGCTGTGCTTTGTACTTATTTTGAACACAAGAGGTGCTTTTCCTATTTTTAATTCTTACTGGTGTACCAGAACCACACCCAAAATGTCCTTTTTATTCATATTTATTCTGGTATTTATAATACCAAAAAAGGAGAGGGACATACATTTGTAGCAATTAGGACAATGTACATGAAATAGCACTGATTATTTTAAAAATCAGAACTAATTGCCAGGCTCCGGCAGGCAGAGAATGTCTCTGTGAAAACCACAAGCTGGCCAGACTGCTCTGTGAATGAGAATGGTCAATGCCAGTGTATTTCAATTGGTACACCAAAATACTGTCATTTGCTCAACACTGGCTACCAAATGTGTGGTGATGAAGGCAGAGGAGACTGGCTCAGAGTCTTGGAGAAGAGCAAGACCTGGGGGCTCTGCACAACAATGACGGGCTTTGTGACCTCGACCGTGATGAGTGGGCGGCTCTTTAAAGCCAGGCAGTGCGAAGGCGTGGCCACATGCTGGTGTGTGAACACCGCTGGGGTCAGAGGAACTGACAAGGACACTGCAATAACCTGCTCCAGATCAGTGAGGACCTTCTGGATCATCACTGAACTAAAACACAAAGCAAGAGAAAAACCTTATGATGTTCGAAGTTTGCAGACTGCGCTTCAGGAAGTGATCGCAACTTGTTATCAGCTGGATCCAAAATTCATCACAGATATTCTGTATGAGAATAATACTATCCCTCCTATTGATCTGATACAAAATTCTTCCCAGAAAACTCAGAATGATGCGGACATAGCTGATGTGACTTATTATCTTGAAAAAGGTGTTCAAGGTTTAATCCTTGTTCCATTCTTCTAAGAAAATGGACCAGAGAGTAAATGGGGAACAACTGGATCTGGATCCTGATCAAACTTTAATTTACTATGTTGACAAAAAGGCACTTGAAGTCTCAATGCAGGCTCTAGAGGCTGGTGTCATTGCTGCCCTAGTGGTAGTGACAATAGCAATTATCACTGGAATTGTTGTGCTGGTTATTTCCAGAAAGAAGAGAATGGCAAAGTATGATAAGGCTGGGATAAAGGAGGTGGGTAAGATGCACAGAGAACTCAATGCATAACTACTGTAATTTGAAGAGTAACTACAAGAAGGGAAATTAGCAAACGGACTCAGATTACAAATGTATGAATATAGGACAACGAGAAGATCTTTGAGGATTACTATTTCGTTAGTTAGCATCATATATGTGTAATAGTGAAATCTGTACTCAGAATATAAGCAGCACGAAATTGGCTTTACCAATCTTAAAACTTGACCACAAGTGTCTTATATATGCAGATCTAATAGAAACCCCAGAACTTGGACTGCATAGTTAAAATTACTTATGTGTAACATTAAAGAGTGTACATTAAATATGCTTCCACAGTAGAGTTTGAATGACTACTGTCTCCTTTGTGATTGAAAGCTGCCTTTTCTATTTGCTTTGAGTCTTGTACCTACAATTTTTTTGTGAACTATGAAATAAAACATTTTAAACTGAAAATAATCAGAACTAAAGCTATTTTAGATCCACAGTGAAATAATAGATTAACGTAATTCCTTCAGAAAATTAAGTAGTAAAATATTACTCACAACATTCAGAAACAACCTTGCTGTGAAATGACCTTGACAATTTATTTTAAAATTATGTTCCTCTATTTCTTGCAAATTCTGACCCAAAATAATTATTATTTGATCAGATATCAGTGGGACTCAATATATTCATAATGTTTATAGAATAGAATAGGGCAGAATTCCCACCTTGCTTTTTCACTTCACATTGGCATTGGTGGCTCTTCTGCAGGTAGGAAGGGGTTCAAATCCCCTCTCCTAGGCAGCGTTCCCCTTGGGGACCCCCCCCTGACCCCTCACTCCTCTCACCTAAGCAGCTTGTTGTTCTCCTGGTCTGCGTAGGTGGTGATGTTGATGGCAGTTTCATTCTGCTCCACAAATTTCAGGAATTCACTGGAGTCCAAGCGAGAGTCACCATTATCAAAGTTCTAGAAAGAGCATCAAGAGATCTTTTAGGAACATTTTGTAGAACCCCAGTTCCATCATTGTTCCCCTCGGCCTGAACCATCTCTGGTTCATCTCGTTCTTGCATGTTTCAACCCTTGCCCGGCCTGGCTTCAGAGAGCTACAGCAAAAAAGGCCACCGAGGGCCTTTCATATCCAGAATCAGCTCAGGAGGGCATCCTGAATAGAGGTCTGAACTGCCCCAGAAGCCTGGGGTGCCTAAGAGAAGCCCCATCTCTGACACCGTCCTACAAACATTTTTGACTTTACCCTTGGGTTCAGAACACCACACCATGTTCTCAACCCCAATGAACAGGTAAGGAGAGTCTAATGTTGCAAGCTGCAAATCAGAATCTCTGCAATGGGGCCCAGAATGCATGTTTCCCATAAGCTGCTCAGGAACAGCAATGCAGGCAACCTTCCAGCTCACTTTTGGGTCGCAGGATCATATCTTGCTGCTTGATTTCCAGCCTCCTAGCCCTGTTCTCAGTGCTTAACTTTCACACTAGTGCCTGTAACCAACCGCATCAGTGAGAACTCACAGGCAAAGGCCCCAAACCAATAAGCTGCAGGCAGGGCTGGGGCAGAGCCCCCCACCTGTCTGCCCTGTGCTGTGGGGCCACTACAGACATGTACACAGGACACAGACTGCCCACGTAGGCTGGGATGACCCAGCTGACATCCTGCCAGCACAAGGCGCCAATGTGGTGAGCTCGGGCATTGTTATCTCTATGGAAAGATGCTAAACCAAGACTGCAGCTGCTGGGGACCATACAAGATGCCCAGGCCCTAGCTGCAGGAGGCAAATTCCAAGTTGGATTCTGCTGCTCTCCTAACGAGTTCCCAGGGCAATTTTCCTCCCCAAATTCTTTCCATAGGCTGCCTCATACTGCTGCCTTGGGAAATGATCAGCATCCCCATGTTACTCTCAAGGGTATCCCAAGATGATGCAAAGGATTCTGGAAGAAAAGTCTCTCCAGGTTTCTGGGTAGAAGGGAAGGATGTAGCTACAGATTTCCCTTTCATGACAGCCGTGTGTCACATGTGTTGGACTCTAAGGTTATAATCTTTCCATGGCATGTATAATGACAGGTATTAGACACAAGGCAACTCTTAGGCCCTTGCTTAGTTCCTATTTATTCTTGTCCTAATTGCCAGGAACAGGTCTCAGATGTTCTTTATTCAGTGAACACTCACCCAGAGGAAACTTCCCTAAGTGTTCACCTAGTGAGGTCTTGATTAATTAATGGAAAATAATTAAATGTGCTTGGCCAGGGGCCATTGTTAGTAGCACAGGACTTTCTTGAGTCCAAATGTTCCATGAGCCAGGCAGACAGAAGCAACCCTCAGAGACCCCAACATCACGAGGGCCTGAGGACAGAGTTCAGGGAGGGGAACAGTCCAGCACTGGCTGCAGACCCAGTGCCAGAGGGCCCCAGTGGGAACCTGGAAACTCCAGTCCAGGTAACTCTCAAAAGGTAGTGCTGTGCACACACTTCAAATTCAGTGGGACCCAAATCCAGGCCTGAAGCTGCAGGGAGCTCTATTCTATCTGCATTCTCATCTCATTAGGGCCTGGCTGGGTCTCCCCTGGCCAGTTTTGTATGTGGAATCCACAGGAACACAGAATTCTGGTACCCAGAAACAGCCTGGAGTGCTTGGGGTGGGGTGGGGTATCTGCCTGTGGGGTCATGATCTTGCATCACAAACCAACCCGATTCATTCAGCCTCTGTTGAGCTGACCAGTTACAATGGCATAGTGTCTCCTTATGCCTGCATTTCTTGTCTCTATACAGGCTGAGTGGCACTTATCTGAATGCTTGGGATCAGGAGCATGTCAGATTTTGGATTTTGAAATATTTGCAAATGTATAATGAAATACCTTTGGAATAGAACCCAAGTCTAAACACGAAATTCATTTATGTTTCATACACACCTTATACACCTAGCCTGAAAGTAATTTTATACAATATTTTCAATAATTTTCTGCATGAAACAGAGTTATGACTTTGTTTTGACTGTGACCCATCACATGAGGTCAAGTGTGGAATTTTTCATTTGTGGCATCATGTTAGTGCTCAAAAAATTTCATATTTTAGAGCATTTTGGATTTTGAATTTTTGGGTTAAGGATGCACAGCCTGTATTTGTGATAACAACACTTTTCTTCTATGTAACTGTAGGGTTGAGGAAAGGCAGGAAGATGTCAGTATGGCAGTGGGGGAAATGGGGGACATGATGCCAAGGCTGGCTCCAGGGTCAGTCCTGGCCACCAGGTGTCTGCCACCTGGAGCCACACAGGTGTGCAACACGGTCCCGGAAGGCTCTTCCTACCTGGGTCTTCCCTTCTTCACTCTGTTATGCTTTCAATTAAGAAATAGTGACTGACTCAGTAGTTGAGGTGAAAGTCAGATTTCGGCTCTATCCAAATTCTGATTAGATTTAGTTTTTGGCTGATTTTGATGTAAGAAATGCCGGCTGGGCTGGAGAGAGATTCACTGGCTCAGCAAGTCTCTTTGAGATACCACATCTCTCACCACAGGCAGCTGCTGACCTAGGGGGAGGAGTATCCCTTTGAAGAGAGCGCCATGTAGGACTCTGATAATCATCAAAAGTAGAAAGTGAAACCCCTGTTTTCTCCTGGAAGACAGTGCCAGAGCATCTGGGAAGAGCGAGCTTTGTGGCTGTCAGTCAGGATCAAGCTTGCTGAGCTGGGAGTGAGACTGCTCCAGAGAAAAGCTACTTTCTCTAGGGGCCTCGCGGTGTTCACAAGGGCGCCTGTGGGAGCGAGTTGCTGCTGGAGGAGGTGGAGACGGGTTGTGGGGGAGTGTGGCCCAGGTACTCGGAAATCAGATCCAACAGCAGGTGTCAGCCATGCCTGAGGCAGGGTGCCACCAAAGGGTTCCCAAGAATGGTTACAAGGTCCCAAGTGGCCCCTTGGACGATGTGTCCTGGGTCCCACAGCTCCTATGCCGTAATCGCAGGGCAAAGTCACCGCTCACAACAGGCCCTGCAGGTACCGCTCACTCAGCTTTTGAACAATCATTTTCTTTCAGTTATGTTTTGCTCCCATCCAGCTCTCCCAGCTCAGCACTACAGTGTGTTTTTCTGCAGAAGAGGAACCACTTTGGCCAGGGGTTCTGCAACGTGGGAGTGGCTAAGACAGAGGACAGAGTGAAGAGGGCTATGGTTTTTCATCTGAGTACGACCCCTAAAACTTGGATTCTAGAGAGAGTTCATCTCTGCCATAGAGAAGAGAAACCTCTATATGAAAACAACACAAACGAAGTCTTTAAGGACCAAATATCCATTGGAACCCAACCCAGTTTTTCTTTATCTGTGGGGTCTGTAATGAGGAAATCCGCACACTAGATGGGCGTTGACCGTACTGGGTGGCCTCAGAGCTGCCAAGAAGCCCGTCAGGTGTCTGGAGTCACTCCCGAGTCCTGCCTGGTTAGGCCCTGGGACAGCAGGCCCTGGAAACACGTGAGGGAGCGTATGTCCAGAGCCCAGCATCTCGGCATCCACCACCTACGGATCTGTGTCTCTCAGTGAAGGGGCTTATGTGGGGATGTGGGTATCCGAATGCATGTCTGCATGTGGGACAGGTCTCAGTGTAGGGTGTGCATCTGTGTGTGTGGCGTATGTGTGTCTGGCATGTTGTGGGTGTGTGTCTTCTTCCTCTATGCTCCCGAGTGTGATATGTGTATTTGAGTGTGATGTACCTATGTGTGTGTCTGTGTTCTTCTTGTCAATCAGCCAGAGGAGTGCCCTTAACTGCTGCTTCTAACACCTCTCCAGCGCTCTGAAAGATCTCCATGCCATGGCAACCCCACTCATTGCTAAATACCATCTCCTCCTCCATTTTCCTTCAGTAGCATCTCTCCTGCTCTGTCTCTTTAATTAATTATGATGGAAAACAGCAATATCTAGGTTCATGAAGATTCTCTGGACCAATGGAATGCCAGTTCAGTGATCCTTGCCAGGTGAAGGAGCTCTCTAGGCCGTGGACAGTCAAGTTAACGACTGAGAGGAATGTCACACTGCAGGGGAAAGAGGGCTGAAGTGGTCCGGGTCTGGGTGAGATCAGAAGGAATCCTGCATTAGCAGCCAGCTGCAAAAGGTGTCCTATGGGGCAGGGAAAGGACTAGGCCTTACGACACTGACGGGCTCTCTAAGACCTTCGTGCCTTTAATTGCCCAAAGGGAGCAGCACACGTGTGTTAGATCCCAAAGCCGGCTCCCACCAATCAAGCTGGTCAGCAGGCAACTGACCAGCTTCCTGCTTCCTGGGACAATCTGTAGGGACACTCAAGGACTCCAAGCAGGTAGTCTGGAAGGATGTGACCAGGCACTAGGAGGAGCAAGCTTCCTTTCTGTGGATTACCTTAAAGTACTTGTCTAGAATTTCACTGTAGTTGCTGCCTTTTGAGAACCAGCCATCTGGGATGATCTCGGCTTCCAGCCACTGGATGATGCGACGCCGGAGCTCATCGCGGTTGGCCTGATAGCAAACAACTGCGGGCAAGGGGAGAATGTCAGCTGAGGTGCAGGTGCGTGTCGTCTGGCAGGTACTTCACGGGGGCTCAGTGCCCGGGCTCTGCACATGTCATCGCACTGGATCATCACGGCACCCACGGAGACAGGGTTACCATGTGCAGGGTACACAGCTGGGAAGTGTCTAGCCCGGGACTCAAGCTCACATCTCTAAAGCACTTATGAAGTTCGAGAATATTTAAATGGAGAGATTTGGTTGCATAGGTGAGAAATAAGTAGAGTAGAAAAATAAAGGACATTTTCATTAACTTTAGGAAGCTGAGGGGGGAAAAAAATCAATAGAGCAGCTCTCTTGGCTCAAAGATGAGCTGAAATAATCCATAAATAAATGAAAACAGTATAATCCTTTAGGCCACTGGATTTCTGATTCTCTATTTACCGTTTCTCTCTTTCTCACCAACTGGGTCAATCAAAACTCTCCCACTTAAAAGTTTTCACTACCTGCATCATCCTTTATTATAAACAACAGAACATGAGGCCACGGAAGGGCCACATGGAAGCCCCTGTTCTGGACAGCTGTTGCAAGCCACGTGGAAACAATAAGGGAGTCTGAGAGTCAGTGAATGGGAAAGCAGAGGACAGAAAGGCCTGGCAGAAGGGAACCCATGGAAGACAACACTTGATGGGCACTGGGCCAGGAGAATGAAAATCCAGGCATTCCTCCCACTTTTCCACCTCCTAGCTGTGAGATCTGTGGAAATTCACTTAGCCTTTCTGAGCCTCATTTTCCTCATTTATAATTACAGTAAGATCTACCTCACAAAGTCATTGTGGGAATGTAAGCAAAGTATATGCTGAATAGCTCTGTAACTATAAATCATGATGAAATTTTAATTCTTCTTAATAGACAACTCCATAAGAAGTCTTATTGGCATTTCCCATTGTTCCCTTTCAGAAAGAGTGGTGTCTTCTGATTCTGCTAGTTCTGTGACATGCAGGGCAGTGAAAGAAGGACTCAGTGGCTTTCCTGTTCTTGTTCAATCACTGCTCAGCAAAAATGGGAAGACACAGCCAACATTCTGATCCAATCAGTTCAGCTGGCAAACACCTGAAAAATGTAGTTTTGCAGCTTTTCTGAGTTGTGTTGAAGAGTGATCAGTTCTGGGTCACAAGTTCTGACACATAGAAGATCTTGTGAGCTTGGCAGGAATTGTGAAACACAGAATTTCTGTTATGAAAAGAATTTCCTCCCTAAGCTGCACACTGTAGGAAAAATAGGCACTTACCTGGGCTGGCAGATGGACTTACAGATTTCTTCTCTGCAAGATAAAAGGAGAAAATGTGTAATGCAAAGTAAAGAAAAAAAATCTCTCTGTATTTCTAGGATTAAAACCGCCCCATACTTAGGGCACTATTTGTAAGCTTTTCATCATTTTATCTTGAATCTTTACTTCCTTTCCTTCCTCCAGGGCCCAAGTGTGGTGATATTTTTTTTCCTGCTTTGTTTGACCATTTTGGGGTCACTGAGTGGCCCTCCTGGTCTCATACCTCCTCCTGTTGGGTTGAGGGGTCACGGGGACTTTGAGAATTCATTTAGAGAAACATTGTGGACAGGGAATGGAGTGGAAACCATCACCTGCTTAAAGCTTCTTGTTTCTCCAAGGAATGCCAGGCTGAGAGGGGCTGGGCAGGCTGGGGCTTGGCAGGGGGGCTGATGTCTAATTAGCTAATTAGCTAACAAGCTTGGGACTCCTTCCCTCTTATTCCAATGGCAATGGTTTCAGCACAAAATAGAGGAAACATAACTCTACCAGGGCTGAGAGATACCCAAATTAGAAAGCATGGGAAAAGTACAATTTAGCTACTTTCTAAAAAGGTACAGAATTCACTGAAGGACTTCCTGTTGGTGGCAATTATTGACATGGTTGCCTTATCTGCCATCCAGCTGCAGACAGTGCTGGAAGCCCCTCTGGGCGTCTGATGCAGGAAGCCCTGGGCAGGGGCCTGGGCAAACCCAGCAGGCTCAGGAGTGCCGAGAGGAAGGATCTCCAACCATCTGGGTGATCGCCACAGCTTTGGGCAGCTGTGGTCATGGTAGAAAGGCCATGTGGTCAGCCAGGCAACATTGCTCTGCCCCCTGGCTCCCCACAGTTGCCACAGAGTGGTGAGAGCATGCCTCACCTTTGCAGTGCCCATCATAATCAACTTGGATCTTGGATCCAGTGAGGCAGGCATCTCGATGCAGTTCACAGTGGTTGAGGTAGGTCTTGCCGTTACTGCCACACACAGGCCTCTTGTGAGGTTTGCATTGCTGAAACAGACCACAGGGGGATGTTTGTGCAGCCATGGGCACCGACACACACATGCACGCACACAGACACCCAGACACAGAGCCATCCTGGGAGAGGATCCCCACCAGCAGAGCTGGAGCCTCTACCCTACCAGGCACAGGGAGCCTCAGCTCTGGCTTGACCTAACAAGCCCTGGGCCCTGCCCCACTGGATGTTGGAGGCACTCCATGGCCTCCCAGACACCCATGGCCCTCTGCGCCAATCCTGGTCATCTTTTCTATTCAGTGAGGAAATAGACCCCCTGCTACGGTTTGAATGTTTGTGTCCCTTCCAAAATTCATGTTGAAACTTAATCCCCAATGCAATAGTATTAAGAGGTGAGTCCTTCAGGAGGTGATTGGGTCATGAGGGCTTCTCCCCTGTGAATGTGGTTAAGGCCTGTATAAAGAGGCTTCACATGGCATTTGGTCCTTTTGCTTTTCTGCTTCCTGCCATGTGAGGATGCAGCGTTCCAGGTGCTATCTTAGATGTAGGGACTAGGTCCTTGCCAGAAATCCCTTTGATCTTGGACTTCCCAGCCTCTAGAGCTGTGAGAATTAAATCTTTATTATTTATAAATCACCCAGTCTCAAGTATTGTGTTATAGCAGCCTAACAGAATAAGACACCTTCCTTCCCCCTATCAAATTAGCAGACAGGACATGCCTCCTTTCTGAGGCAATGGGTCAGGATCCTTAACCTGGAGGCTAAGTTGGACATATTTAATTAGCAGAAAGACATGTGTTTCCAGGTTATGGGTTGGCTTGACAGAAAAGAGAAAAAAAGCAAATGTATAAAAGAGGGGGAAACCCTATGTTTATAGTAATGTAGAAATAAAACCACGTGGAACAATATATGCCAAACTGTTAACACTGGTTACCTCAGGCTACTAACAGGGTTATGGAGGCTTATAAGGGAAGATTATTAATTTTATGTCTGTACTATTTGACTTATATAAAGCAAGTGTCAATTTTTTAACTTAAAAAACCTTAACATTTTTTAAAAAAGAAAAAATATCTCTGCATTAAAAATCAGGCATCTGCTTTTTAACCCTAGGGATAAAAATTCCACCTGTCTTTCAGAGGGACAAAGGATGCTTTTATACAAAGGATGAAATCACTGGTGCTGCCCTGCTGACTGGCGGCTCCCTCAAAGCAGCCACGCTGCCTCGGACACTGTCACCTGGCTCCTGACAGCAGGACTTACCTCAATGCAGAGACAGGTGGGCTCTCCTTTCTCTGTGACTGCACATTCCCGGCCTGCACCACAAAACACGTTGGCACAGATCTTGGATTTGCTTCTTAGTTCTTCCTAAAACACAATCATAAAGAAAACCGTGTTACTGAGATGAGCCCATGGTGGTGATTACCTTTCAGGCTTGGGATTTGGTCTGGGGTGATGGCTCCGAGTGAAGGGTCCTGAGCAGCCATAAGTCACCGCTCACAGCCAGTGCCACATTCCCAGGCACTGCTCTCCCTAAGACTATTTCTCAAAGAGCAAGAGTTCCTTTCTTGCATGCTTCCTTTCTTCTAAAAATGTTTATTGAGCATACCTATTTTACACCAATGCTGCGAGTAGGGCTGGAGATAAAAAGGACAGCACTCCCTGTCCTCAAGAAGCACCATGACTTGCAGAGGAAACTCACAAAGAAAGAGACATTTAGGAAGCAATATGAAAATACAGCAACAGGAGAACCAGCGAGCTGGGGGGTGAGATCAAATGGGACTGTCTGAGGATACGATGTCTGACTCCTAAAGATGAGAAGAGTAAGCCAGGTGGAAATGGAAAAAATTGAAAAGAAATATGAATATCTGAAGGACCCAAATTTTACTAAGAGGTGTTCAAGGCAATGTCACTTCAAAGACAAAAGAGGGATGGGTAAAACACTGGAAACACAGATTTGCTGTATTCTTTCTGGACCTATTCGGCCCCTGTTCACATCTGCCACTGGCTTAAGGGCCAAACCACCTGACAGACAGTAGAACTATCCTTAGACCATGTGCTGGTCCGGCATTCCTGTCCAGACATATGCAGCAGAACTGATGGAGCAGGGGACGGTCTCAGTGCCTGCCACCTGCAAATGTGAGTATGGACAAGCACAATCTGCTGGGGGCACATCCCTCCCCTCCCACTCACCAGTGGCAGAAAGCCAGCCCCATCTCATTCTCTACTCAGCCCAGAAGTAGTGGTGGTTAAATAAAGGACAATGTAATGTCTCCAACCTCTTGCTCTGACTGGCCGGGCAGACAGAGTCACCAGAGACCTCCAGGCCCAAGCTCACTAGGCGGGCACTGGCTGTGACCAAACCAACAAAGACGGCAGGAGACACGATGAGGTCATGGGACCAGCTGTGGGAAAGGCAGGGCTAGAACCCAAGAGTCCACCCTCCAGGCCATGTCTGTCATGTCATACAGAGAACTCACACCCACCAGGCCTGCAACAGTAAAACTCTTATAGTTGGTAGATGTTTCGTATCCAAGATTAGGTAAAAAAAAAAAAAAAAAAAAGGCAAAAAACAAAGTAGATGCTTTACAGCTGAGGGGCTGTGTCCAATACAGCTGGTCTGCTGCCACCCGAAGGCTGCTTTGCAAACTCCAGATTATTACTGTTTTCTGTGCTAAGCCGCCTGCCTGCCGTGCAGGGCTCCCATTGGTCTAGAAACTGTTCCCATGCTCACGTTTCATTGGTTCCCATGCTGTTGCTAAACCAATTCTTTTCTGGATGTTGCTAAGGAGAATTCAATAAAGCTGGCAGGCAGGGAAGAAAAGAAGTAATTCCCAGACTGGCTGGCAGGACAGACGGGATAGCTGTTGTTTCCTAAACAGGGAGTGGAGATGAAATCAAGCATATTCTCCAGGCAGGGCCCTCTTGTGGAAACTGTGCCTGGAAGTGTAAGCCAACTAAAAAGAAAGAGGAAGGGGCTACTGCTGACCCTTAAAAGTGTAAAAAGAAATCTCCTCCTTCTCCCTCCACTCCAGCCAAGGGATAAAGAGAAATATGCACGCCCTGTGGGTGTGTCACACGAGCCCCAGACACACAGATGCACAAAAAAGCACGTGCAGAAGCCGCCTGCACTCAGACACACCGCACACAGCCCCACAGGCAAACACCCACAAACCTCCACTAACTGGCCCCGGGTCCTTAACCAGTGATTTTCATTCTTTGAGCCTCACATTTCCTCATTTGTAAAACAGGGGTAAATACCTGCCCTGCCTTGTAAAGATTAAATGAGAGAATGTATTTGGAAGTACATCATAAACCGTAAAGCAAGCTGCCTGTGAAAAGCCTTATTGATGGGAATGCATTATGGAGCTGCTTGCAGAAAAGCTTGTGGCATTTATGGAGCCTCCTTGTATCTTATACTGCTGGTTTTAGTGAGTATTAAAACTAAGAGCTTTCACTTACAGGTTGAATTCAACCCAAGTCATTTTTCAAAAAAGGTTCTCAAAAATCCATTTAAAGAAACAGACACCTTTTATTTAAGTTGTAACAATATTTGAATAATACAATTAAAATTTACAAAGCATTTTCATACACATGATTTCATCTTACTGCGTGGACAACACTGCAACAACACGTATATTATTATTATTAACCCCACTTTGCAGATGAGGAAATTGAGGATCAGAAAGGTCAAATAACTTGCTCAAAGTCCCAAAGCTAGAAATAACAGGAGCTAGAATTCCAACCCGTATCTTCAGACCACAGGTAGCTAAGCTCCCATTTATAAATATCCGGCATCCTGCTAAGTGATTTTTATTGTATGTTATTTAAGTTCTACAATAATGCCCTAAAGCCCAATGTCTTATCGTTGCTATCCCCAGAGGGAACTGAGACTTAAATAACAAGACTGAGACTGAGACTTAAATAACAAGAAAGTGGCAGAGCTAGGATTTTGCCCAACCAAGAGGAAATCAGTTTATATTTGATTAATTTTCATATTCTTAAGTTAAGGAAATTATGATGAGGATGTGAATTGCATAATAAGCAAGTATCAGGAGAAAGTGCATCAGAGATCTAGATCTGAATTACCCACATGCCATCTCTATTCTGTGTTTGCCATGATTGTGGGCAAGGCACTCTTTAAACCGCAGTTTTGTCATGCGTGAAGTGGGAAATGATCCTTAGAGGGCTCCTGCCACATAACAGAAAGTGGCTAAGATTACAGTGCGCAATTTAGTTTCTGACAATTTTCCCACTGACTTACTGTCATCACCACCTTGGGCTGTCCTGTCCTCATTTTCCCCTGTCCTCCCCTACACTGGAATGAAAATACTGAGAGCCTGTTTGAAGAGCACAAACAGAGGTGGGAAGCCACCAGTTACACAATCATTCCTCTTTGCAGGTGACATATCTGTCAATAGGTGGCAATCTCTCTCTTTGTGTCCCACAGCCCAGAGCTGCAATGCAGAAGTACAGTCTTGGCGCTTGCAGCTCCAGCCCAGCGGTTCTCCCAGGGAGACGCGGTGCGGAAGGACAGGGCGACAGGGTGGGCACCCCACAGACATAGGTACCTTGGGAAAGGTCTCACCTGCAGCCTCACAGCCCTCCCCAGTTCTCCCCATCCACAGGCCTGCTTTAATGCAGACACCAGCAATGAAAACAATTTCCCCAAAGAGGTGACCTTTGTGCCATTGAATGCCCTTCCCCAAGACCATCTTCTCCGGCAGCGGAGTATCAGGTGCATCCGGAAGCTGCCTAGAAAATTACTTAGGGTGGTAGATGGTCTTATCCATCTGCAGAGTGACTGATTCTGAGTAAATGAAAAGAACACTTTGAGAGGGGATGAACATGGCACGGCATGCTTCTGGGTCAGAGTGATGTCTGCCTGGTGGGGGTGGGGGTCTTGGAGAGAGAGGGCAGCAGGGGGTGGCATGGAGGGGGCTCTCCACCAATCCACGGGCAGTGAGGACCCTGGAAGGTTGGGACTGGACAGGTGACATGAAAAATGTGGTGCTTTGGAATGTTAATTTGTGTCAGGTGTCTTCCAATTCTGAAATTCTGATTCAAAGTGCAGGGCAGCCTGGATGGAGAGAGGCAGGAAGCAGAGAAACCTAAGGCTGCAATCTAGTCAGGGGTGGCAAGGGCTTAGGGCCCACAGCTAATATTAATTACAGCACCTACAACTGCATAAGGCCCTGCACAGGTATCTCTGTCATTGCAACCTCTGTGCAGATTCCTGCATTTTCAGTCCCATGTAACAGATGCAGAGGGATTTGTGAGTCAGAAAAGCTCTGTGACATGTGGAGGCCACATTAACTAGTGAGAGCTGAGTTAGGAACGGAACACAGCTTGGTCTGACACCAGAGCTTCGAGGTTCCCTTGCAGGGTAGAATCAAGGCAGTGAGGTGCAGGGAGGGGGGACAGCTCCAAGAGGTGACCCAGGGCGAGGTCACAAGGTACAATGCAGTTCTGCAAATGAAATAGAATTGTTTGCTTTACTGCAGTAATGATTTTAAGAATTAGGTTCCAAAGCTGCATGAGAATTTCACCTATGCAGAGATAGCCACGTTGGCATGTACATGTTCTCTGCGAGTATGAGGCTACAGGCAGGTCCATTATCATGAAAGTATGTACCCATAAAAGTCCGAGTGTACCTGTCAGACTGTAATTGATTGAGTGGGATAGGGGATATGTTCTGGAAGTGTGGACACCCAGATATACTGATAAAAACCAATAAAATATCTGCCTTCAAACGGAGAAACATTAGGTTTCTAGATTTATCCTTCCACATCATCTCCGACATGCCTCCATGTCGTTTTCATTATGTGTGTTGCAAGCTGAGCTCTGGAATTTTGGTCTCATGGTTAATTTCACATTGCAAACTCCTTTGATAAAAGACTGATCAGGAATATTCCCAACTTTCTACCAGGTAGAAACTTTCTCTCCGAACAACTGTCAGCCATTGAATGGCAATAATGATACTTAATACTTGGACAGTAATTTTGATTAATGTGTAATTTCTACTACCATTTTTGATCCCCAAAGTCTTTTAAGATAGGCAGGCAGGGGGTCCTGCTAAGGACCTTCCAGATTTACAGTCCCATGATGAAGATGAAACTGAGGCTCACAGCTACATGTGACTGTTGTAAGATCTCACAGTTGTAGAGCTGGGGCCTGGCCCCAGGTTTCCAGACTTTAATTCCAGCCTCGTTCCACTAAACCATTCTGCTTCTTTACAAATCAAAGCCAGGAAAGGTGTTGTCTTGAATCCAAGGTCTTAAAACACGGAAATTATTTTTGCAATCAAAAAAGATCCTTTGTAAGCAAATGGAAAAAAGCAAGTTATTTGCAAAACCACCAGTAGAGGT